CCTTCCCCCTTACCGCTTACATCAATTATGTTCTTTATCGGTTGCCAGTTATAGCTAAGTTGACCTTTATCAGGTTGGATGCATCTTCTCTGAAGTTTCTGATGGTGATGTGGATAACTTAAGACTAGCTATTATGTATGCTATGGAAAAGGGTGCCCAGGTTGTTAATCTTACCTTTTACCGTATTTTATATTTGTTCGTATGAAGGGATATCCTTTCCTTACGTCATTGAACTCACTTTTGAAACGATCATTGCTTTAGTTCGTGTTGATGGGGGGGACAGTGATGACTCCTACATTGCAACTACTACAAGAGGAACTTAAGGTAATTACCTTGTCCATTTTGACTCATTTTTCAGACTAACTGCTACGTAATGGTCCCACGCCTCAGTTGGTGCAAGTCATATCAAGATACCCTATTGATTTTAACAGATTTTTTTGTTTTTTCAAATGTTGGACATAGTTATTTCATATTTTATTTGGATCTTTCCTGCCAGTATGTCATTGTTGTAATGTCCAATTTAGCAGTTTTCAAAAGTCATTAGCAATATACAATGAAAGGTATTAGACTTAATAAAGAAATGCCTAGTTGAAAAGACTGCAAATCTCAAAAAATTTATTATCATAAAAAAAATTTAATGAAAGGTATTAGACTTAAAGAAGTGCCTGGTTGGAAAGACTGCAAAACACACAATAAATGAATATACATAGTCTACAGTGTCTCTTAGAAACAAAACAGTGCTGATTAGGCCATTTTTCTTTAAGTAAAACGGTGAAAGTATTTACTGTGATGTTAGTGTTGGAATAGACATAAAAGTGCCATGAAAGTTCATAATAGAAGAACTGGGAGAACTGAGCTGTAAGGTTATCCAAGGGGAGGACAATCAAAATCAAGTTTATCGACAGCGGATAGCGTCGCGCAGCGATAAGGCATCTCTAATGCTATTTGGGGCTGTTGCGTCAAAATAGCGGTAAAAAGTCCAAAGTCAAATTGCGGTCTAATTTAGATATGTATAAATATTCAAAAAAAATTTAAGAAAAATTTTAAAAATCTAAAAGTGCATATTTGATGATTTAAAGAGATTCCAAACATGAAATAGATATGTAACCGTCACATAATGCTGAAGATGAGACTGGAAGAGGAGTTAAAAGATTCGTCATCTTCGAGAAGAGGAGCTGAGCGGTGAGAGGACTACAGTAGGAGAGGCTCACAGCGAGAGGAGGTGAGAGGAAGTGTTGAGGGAGGTGCCGGAGGCTGTGAGAGACGGCGGGAATACGCCAGAAATTGTGGGAGACGGTGGAATGCAGTAGTTGTGGGTCGGGTTTATTTAAAAAAATAAACCTCAACCCGTTTTTAAATAGCGGTCAAAAAGCAAATTTTGTCCACAATTACCCGCTATTCACCACTATGGCGCGTTACTGGCCGCTTTTGCTAGCGGAAAGCACACATTGCGCAATATGTCACCGCTATTAGGCGATAGCATAGCGGGAAGGGACCGCTAACGCTATTAGCGTCGCAATACCGCTATTTATAATAGTGATCAAAATCCAATAGAATCTTTCGCCAGGGAAGAAACAAATTTTCTTTTTCTAAAAAAGCAACATTTAATGTTATTCTTTAACATATACCTTCTAACAAAACAAAAGCAGACATGCTCTCTATGTATTACTTCGCATGAAAAAAGAGAGCAGAAACTACTAGCCATTATGCTTACTTTATTGTATATCATTTTATTAGTTTCATATGGAATTAAAGAGTATTCTGGTATTGAGCTACTTGTTCTTTTCTGGGGGAAAATTGTGCATTAGAACTTTGAGATAACTATTTTTCAATTTCATATTATATTGAAGAGTATTGCATCACCCACAATCAAATTCTTTTCTGAGACAGTGGTTCTCATCAATAAACTGACTTTGGTATCAAAAAATAAAGAATACAAATATGGTTTAGGATGTTCGATACCCATTTGAAATTGTTATAATAGATACCCATTTAAATTATTTGTCAATTTAATTAAGATTCTCTGATAACAGTAAATGCAGGAGACCACCCTTAGCACAACTGAATGGAAGAATGGGATTGATGTAGTCGACCTTGAAATTTGGAATAAAGGATTTGTTGTTGTCTGTGGTTCTGTTTTAATTGAGGGTTTCAGACTTCACAACTTCATGATCATTTACTTTGGATTTTCAACTTACATGCTCCCAAACAATAGATGTATGAAACAACTTATCTGAGCTGTCATTATTTTCTCAACACGAAAAAAAATCCATGTTCAGATTGTTGGCATTTTAAATGTGCAGATTGTACTGAGTAAAACTGCAGTTGGGAGTAGCCTGTGACTGAATAAGAGAGTTCTCAGTCCTTCTGAAGAGGAGCTAAGTTCTTCCCCATTCAAAAGATTTTACATATTTATCTTTGCGGAATTTTTTGGAAACATAGCCATAGTTGGCAGTTTCTTCAGCTAACTGAAAGCCAGACTGTTAGAGAAGCGAGAATAAGAGCAGTTGCACATGAATAGAGTTGTGGTTGGTAATTAAATCACTACACCGGGAAAATAATTTTGGTGGTTATGTGTAGATACGCCATTAAATCAGATGTTACTGGTTTTTCGAGGACGAGTTGTTTCTTTGTGTTTTTGATTGCATGTGTATTTTGTGCAGGATGCAAATGTAAGATTCGTAGACAAAAATGAAGAGTTCCTACTACACTTGATTCTTGCGGGTTCTGATATCATGTTATGTTCTTCCTTTCATGATCCATTACTCCAAGTACCGGTATGTCAAATGCTGTAAAATATTTGTTAGTATTCAAGGAAAGAGAGTGGTAATGGGTTATCATTACCTGCATGATCTTTTTATTTTTTGTGTCAAACAATAGAGCTCTTCTTGAGATTTTGCTGTCAAGATCAATCGTCAGCTTATAGAGAGCACTCTATTGCCCTATAATTTGGTGGCTTTTGATGCTATCTGAAAGGACTTGGTTTAAGAAAATATAGGGGCTGTTTTCTATATTTCTGCTTTAACCCTTTATTTATTTATTATTTATTTATTTTTTTTTTAAAAGTGACAAGAGTATAGTTTCTGTTTCATGGATTATAACACCAAAGTGTGTCAATTATGCGGCTTGTGCGCATTTTGGACTTTTATTTTTCTTCATACTAATATGTAGACATGCAACAGCTCAAGGCAATAAAGTACGGTTCTGCTCCTATATTGCTGAACTCGAGACAAGAAAGGTTTAGGTAATTGTTAGTTGTTGACCCTTAATAGTTCAAGATGTCAGATTGAACATCAAATTTGAGATTTTAAATGATTTCTTTTCAACAGGTACACTGAACAACAGGATTTTGGGAGCACGGTGATGTCACAGTATATCCTCTCAACATTTGCAAATATGTCCCTTAGCCAAGCTCTTGATGAAATTGTGAGTAAATTATCCCTTATATGCCACTCAAGTAGCTTGAATAATTGAATATGAAAAATAACCAGGTTCATGCGCACATATTTTTCACCTTCAAATATGATGACTGAACACAACCTCTACACGAAGATTAGGACCCAGTCAAATCAATTTTAGATGGTTTAAGAATGTTTAATATGATGAATGCATGTCATTTACTTCTACTTTTCTTGTTTCTTTTGATAGTTCAACATTTCTCATGTTCATATTGCATAGTCCATCAGTATAAGACCAAAAAACGAAGTATGCTGAAGGTGACGACGGATCTCTATTTGCCAACAATACAATTTAAAATCTAATTATTTTATTTAGACCCTCTGTTTGGATCTGGTTTTAGTATCCGGTTATTTTATTTAGACCCTCTGTTTGGACCTGGTTGTATGTATCCAATCTGAACACAACCCATTACAGTCTCGATACTGAAATTATTAGCTTATCACGCATCATGTTCATTTTTTGTGTTCTTTTTTCATTTTGACAAGTCTAGACTATTTCTACTAATGAGAGCATAGAAGAATAGTTATTCACAGAAGATGTCATGAGCTCTCTAGATTTACACATCTCAATGGGTTAATTGTAGATACACCGCTGTACTATGATGGTGTAACCGCTTATAACCCTAAGTTATTTATTAGCATTTACACCCGTGAACTTCAGTAGTAGTTTCTTGCTAACCTTAATTTTAGAGAGCAATTCAGATTTCTTTCCATCTAACTGAGGACAAAAGTTATTTTGTGGACAAATTTTTAAAAACACACATTTTTTAAATTTATATAGCAAAATCGACCGTTTTAAAAAAAAATCAGCAAAATCGACTCTTTTCAGTTAAAAAGGGTCGCTTTTGCTGCAGAGGAGTTTTTCGAAAATGCACGGGACTACTAGTCCCGTGCATTTCGTTTTCTTTTCATTTCGCGCACTTCGACGACACGGGCCAGCTCCTCCACGTGGACCGCCTCCTCCCCTCCTCCCCCCTCCAAGAGGAGGCCGGTGTCGCCCGCGGTCGCCAGGCAGGACCCATGCTCTAATGTGGTCCTCGAGCTCTGATGTGGTCGTCATTTTTTCCCCTCTCGTTTCTTTCTTTCTCTCTCTTTGTTTGATGATGAACAGAATCTGAGGATGAGATAGAGAGATAGAGAGCGGGAATGACTGGTTGCAGCCGGTGGCGCGTTGTGCCTAGACTTGCAAGACCCACGTGCAGGTCGGACGGGTGGGGACGAAACCGCACGAGACTATTAGTCCCGTGCATTTCGAAATGAAAAGAAAACGAAAATGCACGGGACTCGTAGTCCCGTGCATTTCGAAAACCTCTTCCGCAGCAAAACCAACCCTTTTCATCTGAAAAGGGTTGATTTTGCTAAATTTTTTTCCAGAAATGGTCCATTTTGCTATATAAAGTTGAAAAATGGGTGTTTCAAAAATTTGTTCTTATTTTGTCATTACATGATTTCCATGTGACATCTCAACCAAACATAGCAATGACATTCAAAGTTTAGGGTGTACGTGCTGACAAAATAGTTTTAAGTGGCTAAATCCTTGTAGCGATTAATCATAGAAATAAACTTGAGATACGAGTGCTAGTACTCGGGTTGATATTTTGACACTTTGAATGTTTATTTCACTTGTGATATGAGACTGTACTTGATTGCTATATGTTTGTCATTTGGATCTTTAGAAGAATCAGCCAGCACAGTGGGCTTTGAAAATCAAGGATGGGATGTCGAAGGACTTCTCATGGGATGCTGAGTGCTGTGATGTACATTTGGCTGCCTACGAATCGGTAAAGAACTTTTAGAGCTACAGAGTTGAGCAAATGACAGCAAATATGGGTGAAGTTGAATGGACGAGTAATTATTAATGCATAAGTATTTGTTCATTTTCGATTCTCATTCATGCCGCCAAATACATTCGCATACTCGGATGGTTTTAATTATCAGATAACCATTAATATATATACATGTATTATAGTTTGATGAGGATATACGAATGTGCAAGCACATGTCTATCTTATTGTGTGTGTGTATTCTTTTCTTTTTCTTTTTTTAAAGTGGGGACGGTAACGTTTATAAATAGTAACGTGAATTTTGTAGTGGTTCATAATTTGAATCAAGCTTTTAATCAAAATAAATGTTTACTATGAATAATTTGTAAAGTATTTAAATTAAATGAAAATGTGATTTAAAAGTAGAATTAGGGATTAAAAAGAAGAACTAGTAGCGGGATGCGTTTATCTTGTTCTAATACTATCTTAAAACTTCATACTTTAATAACCTTTTCACGAAACTTATACTAGTATGACAAAATCTTTTTTATTAGATCTATTTAAGATATGCGGAGGAGGTTCTAATATAATTTGCTCTAGTATCATCTTAAATTTACCTTCCAATACATTCAAAGTTGGAAGGGCTACAATTTTATACTTGTTACGGTACAATCCTCGTGTAGTTGTACTTAATGCTATGAGTGCAACTGTTGCTGGATGCCTTCGCCCCTCTGCCACAGCATAACAATCGGCAAAGGAAACCTTCTGCAGAAACTTCGACGCCTCATCTTGATTAGCTCTATAACATTGCAATCGATGAACAGATACACGCCATGATTCAAAATGCTCTCTTCCTCTCTCAGAGAGAGATTGCACGATTTATACTTCATATCACCTAACTTTGGACAATTATCAAATAACCTCCACGACTTTTAAAATATCAGAAAACCCCATTCTTTTAAGAGTCATCAGAACAGCCGTAAACAAAGTAACTGTAATTTTACATGGATGGGTAAAATTACTCGGGGGATACTTTTCCTGCTCAGCTCATACGTATTGCTGTCTGTGGGCTTCACAATATAGGACCTTGAAGGTACGTGGACACCCCCCCTTGAAATTACTCACGGTAACAATACTCAACGCTAGCTGTTGATCGCAAATTTACATGAAACTCTACAGCGGAGCCTCCCTCAGCGTCCTCTCGTCTCTAAGCANGATCTCCACTGCTACGTTCTTCTCTCTTTTCTGTCTGTGCTTGGGCCTTGTGGTCCAAGCCCAGTTTGAGGGCCGAAGCCCGTGGGAGCGGACGAGGAGGAGGTTTGGTGCTCAGAGTGAGTGTAGGATTGAGAGGCTGAGTGCGCAGGAACCGTGACGGAGGATTGAGTCTGAAGCTGGAGTTACTGAGTATTTTGATGAGAGGAAGGAGGAGTTTGACTGTACTGGAGTGTCGGCGGTTCGAAGGACTATCCAGCCCGGCGGACTTCAATTGCCTTCCTTCTCCAAGGCTCCCATTCTCGTTTATACTATTCAAGGTTATTATCTTACGTTCATATGAAGGATTCTCTGTTCAAAAGATGGGTTAATTAATTGTGGCGGAT